AATTATCAATTTCAGAGGACAAATTTGCAGCAGTTGTTGGACTGTTAGAAAAAGGAAAGACAAACTCATTGAACACCACATGCTGACTAATAAAGATCTTATTAGAAGTAGGATCAAGGCATCGATAAGCACTTTGCTGATCACAATAGCCAAGGAAAATACAAGGTCGGGACCGGGGTTCTAGCTTATGGGCCATGTAAGGACGAAGCCATGGAAAACATTGACACCCAAAAATAGCAAGTTTTGTGTAGTTGGGAGGTTTTTGAAAACGTTTTTCATAGGGAGTACAAAAACGTAGAGAAGCTGCCGGTTGTCTATTAATTAAATAAAGAGCAGTCAAAAAGGCGTATGACCAATATTTAAGTGGCATAGAAGCATGGTGAAGTAAAGTAATGCCTGTTTCTACAATATGTCTATGTCGGCGTTCAGCAAAACCGTTATGTTCAGGGGTATATGGAGGGGTAAGTAAGTGAGAAATGCCACAGGAGGCCAGGAATTTCCCTAGAGAAATATATTCACCTCCTCCATCGGAGTAAACCGTTTTAATGGATTTTTGAAAAAAGTTTTCTACAATTTTTTAAAATTGTTGAAAAATTGAGGTTACCTCCGATTTGTGGGTGAGAGTGTAAAACCAAATGTATTTTGTGTAGTGATCAACAAAAATAACATAGTAATACCTAATGAGGAAATAATTTTTTGAGTGACAGGACTAATACGAGAAGGACCCCAAACATCTGTATCAATTAAGTCAAGAGGAGCAGAACTAGAAAGAGAAGATTTAGCAAAAGGTAACCGGTGACTTTTATTACTCGCACACGAAGTGCAAAGAGATAGATCCTTACTAACATCTTTAAAATTAATACCTAATGAGGAAATAATTTTTTGAGTGACACGAAGGGCAGGATGTCCTAAACGGCAATGCCACTTATTTAGAGAAAATTTTGTAGTAATGTTAACACTTGGAGACGCAGGAACTGGAACATCACGCAAGCTGTAGACGTCACCGTTATTCATACCCCGTAACAAAATTGCTCCCGTTTTCCGGTCCTTAACAAGACAAAAACAAGGGTGAAATTCGATTAGAACATCATTATCACGACATTTTAGCAACATAAATTAAGTTAGTATGAATAAAAGGGACAAAAAGAGTACTAGGTAAGGATAGAGAATGAAGGGTCATATTTCCAACTTGTGCAATCGCAAGACTTTTACCGTTACCAATAATTAGGGAGTGTGTGCCGGTGTAATCGGATGCCAAGGTGAGGTTATTTAAATTATTGGTGACATGATTAGTTGCCCCTGAATTGAGTAACCATCCATTTTTCCTGGTCGTGGCAGTATTGGCTTGGGGCGGGTAATTTTGTTGTTCATGCCAACAATTAATAGCCAGATGGTTCGGTTTGCCACAAGTTTGACATATAATAATCGAACTTGACCTGGTATTAACCCCAAAATTGGTACGCCCGTCCAGGTGATTATTGATGCTCCTGGGATTACTGTTTCCACGCCGACTGGAATTGTAAAAATTGTTGGGGCGTTGACCTCTATTCTGACTTCTGCCATAATTTCGAATTCGAGTATTGGGCCTCTTGGGTAGATTCTGAACTTGAGTTACTGGACCTGGGCCTAAAATAGATGTGCGCTGATCTGGAGTCCTGCGAACGACCATAGCTGCAGAAACGCTACCCTCGCTCTTCTCTTCAACAACAGCTGCGTTCGCAGTTACGACGGCGGTGGTGGGATTCAAGGCTTCTTTCCTGCGCATCTTATCTTCGAAGCCAACGAGTAGCGAGTGCAGATCTTCAAACGTAACCTCATCTGGACGAATGTAATTCTCCATAGCTTCAAATTCGGGACGAAGACCTTCCAGGGCTTGAATGGCAAAATCCTCGTCGTCAACTGGTCGGCCGGCCATGGCGAGTTCATCCGCAAGTGTGCGAAGGTGATGAAGGTATTTGCCGACAGGTTGGGAGCCTTGTTTCATATGGCAGAACTGGTCTTTGAGACTTCGGATTTTTGAGGCAGACCAAGTCCCGTATAGACGCTCCAGGGTCTTCCATACGGAGGCAGAGGTCTTGGAAGATCCAACCAGGGGCTTGCAAGTTGAGATGAGAGATGAGACCAGGGCATGCCGCAACAGACGATCATGTCTGATCCACCAGAGAAGGTTGTCCCCTTCATTTTTTGGAGGGGGATTGGTGTTTTCATCAATGTACTGATCCATGTGAGCACCGAACAGAAGGTCCATCACCTGGTCTCTCCATAAGGCCATCTGGGGTTGTTGACTGAGAGTGGTGGGTTTTAGTTACCCTGAGAATCTTCTCTGTTTTCTTCAGTAACCATGGCAGACACACTGGCCGGTTAGAGCTCTGGAGGCTCTGATACCATAATAGATTTTAGAGTAGGAATAGATCGAGACTGAAAAGCTTGATTCATTTCATAATATGATATCCTATTTATACAACCTTTTAGAGACTAATAAGGTAGGCTACTAATAATAATATTATATACAAAGATATGTAATTGATTTATAATATTAAATACAAATATTGTGCAACTTATGTAATGGTTCTCTGGAGCTGTCTAGACTCTTCTATACACCCAAATACCCTTAAAGGTAAATTGTGCAAAGGTTCATCAGGGAGCAAAACATTATAAGGAGTCTTCCCTTGTAGTATATATCAGAAGGCATGCAGTTTATGAGATAACAAGAGTAAAGAATGGCTTCCCCCCAAAGATATGCAGGCACCCAAGATGTCGATTCTTCCGGTCAGCAACTTCATTTTGTTGCAGAGTGTGGACAAGAAGATCCATGGACCCCATGACAGTCCAAAACCTTAGAGAAGGGTTCAGAAAAATATTCCTTGGCATTGTTGCTTCAAAGGGTTTTTGTCACCCAACCTGAGTTTTTAATTCATTCAGAAATTTTTGAAATATATTGAAAAGTTCAGACATTTCTTTCATCAAATAGATCCAAGTACAACGAGAAAACTTATCGCTAAATGTAAAAAAGTATTGAAAACCAAAGATATACTTAATTCGGCTTGGTCCCAATACATAGAGAAAAGGGAGCTACTGCCCGTTTATTTATCCTATTTTTGTAGGAAACTTTAGACTGCTTTCATAACTGACATGACTCACATTCAATTGATGAAACATTGGACAAAACAGGAACAAGTTGACGATGCTTATTAAGGTTAGGATGACCAAATTGACTATGAAGAAGCAACGGTTTGATAGTTGTGGCAGTGCAAGCAATATTGGTGTTAGCTAGATGATATAACCCTTGTGATTCATATCCTGTGCCAATCGTCTTCCTCAATAGTCGGTCCTGCACAATCACAGATTTAGTGGAGAATGTAATATCACAATTAAGATACGAAGTGAGTTTATGGACAAAGATCAAGTTGAAGGGATAATCAGGAATATATAAGGCAAAGGACAATGATAGCACAATTAAGATACGAAGTGAGTTTATGGACAAAGATCAAGTTGAAGGGATAATCAGGAATATATAAGGCAAAGGACAATGATAGAGAAGAGAGTGGAGAGGCATTTCCAATTCGTATAACTTTACCTATTGAACCATCACCAAAGGTAATAGACCGAAGAGAGGCCACGAAAACATGAGTCTTATCAGGAGCAATCAAGGTTTGAGCTGCCTTTAAGTGTTGGAATGGTTCATACTCGAACTGTGATAGAACATGAGAACTTTTGACTTCATTATTGAGTTAAGCTACATTGGCAGTGCTTGGTTTTCCATGTAAGTTCCAGCATTGCTCACGTGGGTGTCCTTGTTTGTTGCAATAATAACAAAAATGTTACATTCCTCTGCCACAGCCTCCTCCTCTTCCGTGAAGATTGTCTCTACCTCTCCCTCGACCACCTTTGGAGTAAGAAACAAAGCAGAATTATTAGCATTGTTTTCTTTTGTGACTGAGGTCCCTTGTAGTAGCTGAGTAAAAACTTCAATGGTGTTCGGAACATTTTTCTCGCTCAAGATCTGACGACGGACCTCTTCAAATCCTGCTAGTTTGGAGAGTGTCACGACCACCCATAATTTTTCCCTTTGAGCTTGCTTTTTTTCAATGGATTTCTCCACTGGCATAAGGGTATTAAAATTCGGTCATTAAGCCTTGAACTTTCCCTATGAATGTTTTCATTGACATCCCAGATTTTGTTATTTTTAAAATTTCACCAACAACGAAATAAAATCGAGCTATGTCATTTGTATAGAGAGATTTGGCTTGCTTCCAGACAGAAAAACATGTTCTGAAAGGGCGGAACATCGGAACAATCTCCTGTGAGAGGGACTGCCATAAAATGCTGCAGAGTTGGTGTTGATCATCAACACGTTTCGAGACTTCTCTTTTGATACACGATTGAATCAGCTTATGTGATCAAATGGTCATCCGCTCCTTGTCCCATGAACCACAGTTCCACAAAACATGCACAATCTTGATAATTTTGAGATCCAATAAGTTTATTATTGGTAATAATAGGGCCTCTAGAGAGATTTGAGACGTAAACAGGCACAGGAGTTTCACTGGTACTACTTGTTCCGACATGATAAAAAATATATTTTACAAGTATAGAAAGGATTCACCGCAACTCGCTGGACAAGGACAGACACCAAGAAGAGTGGTTCACCAGAAAATATGTGCAGAGGAACGTGCAGGAATTTCAGACCATACCCATGGCTCTGATACCATGTTAAGACCTGGGGGTCCATCCTAAAAGATTGACCTTTTAGGATGGAACCCCAGGTGTTAACATATTTAATGGGCTTCGAATGTATACTATAGAAATTCTCAATATAGTTCAGCACACAATTTTTTCTCCCTTCTGTCCGCACTAAACTTCCCTTCCATTATCTTGAAATTTTGGAGATTTGTAGTCAGTCTAGTCTCTCTTCTCCAGCTATGGTCATTTTTAGGCATTTGCTTTCTGCAGCATTTATTATATGCCTTCTTGTTCATCTGACTTCTTTTTGTTTATAGGAAGATATTTTTGTTGCTAGGGCACCTGGAAGGCTAGATGTCATGGGAGGAATTGCTGACTATTCTGGGAGTCTTGTTTTGCAGGTGTACTATTTTGACTTGTTTAATATGTCATGTTGAATAAATATTTGTATATGCTCTTTTTGTAATATTCGGCTCCTTTGTTAAACAGCACATTAGTATATTTCTACATCATAGAATGCTTAGATTATAAGAGTAAGATGTTAAGGCCTTGAGCAAATTTACCATGATGGTTTATTACTATTGAGACAGACTTAGAGTTGCATTTTTTCTGATAATACCAATGTAAGTTTGTATTTATCTTAGTTATTATGTCACTACCTTGTTTATCTTACTCTCTGGAATTTACAGTTACCTATTAAAGAGGCATGCCATGTCGCTGTGCAAACAGTTCATCCAAGTAAACAGAAGCTATGGAAGCATGCTCAAGCTCGACAACATGCCAAAGGACCCAGATTGACTCCAGTTCTTCAAATTGTAAGTAATTTTCATGCTTCAACTGATTTTGCACTTTACTACTTTTGGGGAGTTTGAGGGGAGTGGCTGAAAGAACGAGAAACCCTCTAGTTCCCAAAAAATCAGGATTTATGAAGACTGAAGAGAATACACATGCTTTACTGCTTTAGGAAATACCTATATAATCAATGTGCACTATTGAAATACTCGTTCATACACCGTGAGGTTGTTCTAGAAAGTAGGTTCAGAATGTTTTTTATTTTAAACTGCGTTTTTGAACCACCTCAAATACATATGTATGGCTGATGCAACACGTTCGGAGCATTGTAGTTTGAAATCTGTTATTGAATCTTTTAGTTATTGCCTTGTACTGATAATATGTCCTTTTAGGTATCATATGGGTCAGAATTAAGCAACCGTGGCCCCACCTTTGACATGGATCTATCTGATTTTGTGGACGGGGAAGAACCAATGTCGTATGAAAGGGCAAGGGAGTACTTTTCACGAGATCCATCCCAAAGGTTTATACTTCTTATATAATTGATTTTTCTTCGGTCTTGTTGATTGGATATTCTATGTTATATACTAACTTGAATCCCATTTTAGATGGGCTGCATATGTGGCAGGAACAATTCTAGTTTTGATGAAAGAACTGGGAATCCGCTTCGAAAACAGTATCAGCATGCTAGTAAGTCTATCTGCTAATAAGGAGCTTAACATGTAATTTTTGAAGTAATAGTGTCTCACTTTTTGTCAATATTTTTATGCTCCCTTTTTCCCAAGGGATTTTTTTGTTTGAGACGCACAAGTAAGGTAGAACTTCGTATTTTTAGTCAACTAATCAAGGACCAAGATTTTACATATTATGAATGATCACTTATACCACTAAAACTTGTTCTAAAGATTGTTTTGAGTTATCGAGCATACCACTTGTCGTTGGGCTTTATAACAATTTTTTTTTGAACGAAGGGAGTAATAATTACAAAGTATTACAATAAATGGTGATGGATGTGTCTAAGAGGTTGCTTAAACATTGAGATTTAGGGCTGATGACAACCCTCTTTATTTTTTGAGCGGTTGGTGTTTAAACTTTAAAGCTTATTATCCTGGATAGGGTTATTTCATTCGTATGCCATAAAGTTCCCTTGAAAGTGTTCTAGTACTTTTTCCGTTTTCTAAATCTTATTTTGAAATTTGGGAATGCATCCTAGATTTGGGGAAAGTCAATGTTTGGTCATTCTTTGTATGGATTAACTTGTAGGTCTCTTCAGCTGTCCCAGAAGGGAAAGGCGTGTCTTCCTCAGCATCTGTGGAGGTTGCTAGCATGTCTGCAATTGCTGCGGCTCATGGTAAATAACGATCTCATTTGGCTTTTTCTTATTATGTGTTTGGATGAAGGGGTTTGCAGTTGGAGGGGAGGACATTGGAAGACTCAGTGTGTGTGTGTGTATGTAGCAGTGTTGTTATCAGTCTGGACTGACAAGATTCCTGTCAGTCACTCAGTCCAAATCCTATCAGTGCAACTCCATTTCTGACCTCAAATAAAAGCATCGTTTCAATTTCTTTTACTCATTAGTGTTAGCTATTGGTTTCACCTCTAATACTTATCTAAGCTTGGATTTTTTTATTGTCTAATGGCTGAAACTAATTGCTAATATGAAAGAGTAAAAAATGAATCATTTAATTCAATTTTTGGCCACAAATGAAGTTGGTCTAACGGGATTCTCTTCAGGCAGACTAATATGACCTTTATTCTATTTTTTGGAAAAGGGTCAAATAGATCCTTCTATTATTTCCAATCCATCACCTAAGTCCCTACTCCCTATGCTAAAAAGTATCATATAAGTAATAATGTAGAATTAATTAGTATTAATTATTAGGCAGTATCCTAATTGTATTTGGAGACTTATTTCATTATAAATATACTGTCAGGGCTACCAGTCAAGTTAAGCCTGTTTATTATTCTCACATGGTATCAAGAGCCTAGGGTTTTCTATTTTTTCCCGCTAAATGGCGTCTTCCGCTGCCCCTAGCTTCACGGTTGCGCCGAACACCTCGGCCGCACTGCAGTCCGTCAGCATGCGTCCGTCTTCCTCGACGTCGACGGCGCCAGCTAACCTTATTTTTGGGTCCTCCTCCGTGATGCAGCCGTCTCTCGCCATACCTTTTTCCGTGAGTATGACTAGTATAAATACATACAAGCTAGAGAATACAAAAGGAAAGTAAACCTACTAGATTTACATAGAATATTTAGTCTATCGCAGAGAATATATTAGCTACCATATATACACAGAGAATATATCGACTATTAAATATGTATATTCTAACGCTCCCCCTCAATCATGTCCAGCTTGGTACAAATGGAATTGATACGTGTCCCCGGTCCAGCCTTGGTGAACACATCTGCCAGATGATTTCCTGTTTTTATTTGTGGTGTGCAAACATCTTCTACCTTTTCTCGAGTGAAATGGCAATCAACTTCGATATGCTTTGTTCTTTCATGAAAAACAGTATTATTTGCAATATGGATAGATGCTGGATTATCACACCATAATCTCATTGGTTTTGTTTGTGCCATAGCTCGGTACTCAGATTCCGCACTTGATCTAGAGACAACAATTTGCTTCTTACTCTTCCGGGACACAAGGTTTCCTCTTACAAACACACAATAACCAGTGGTGGAATGTCGGTCATTAGGGTTTCCAGCATAGTCCAAACCCTTCAATAACATGATGCCTGTGGTTTTGATATAGTATCCCATGCCCTAGAGCCCCCTGAGGATATGAGTAATTGCATCCCAGTGTGATGTTCGTGGAGTGGAGACCACATTGACCTGAAAACAATATCAGGTTGGGTGATGGTCAAATAATTTAGTTTCCAAACAATCCTTCGATATACTTCAGGATTTTCAAGCAAATCACCTTTATCAGCTGTTAACTTTACATTTGGGATCATCGGAGCATCACACGGTTTCGCCTCAACCAAACCTGCATCATTTAGCACTAGGCAGTATTTTCTTTGAGACAAGTAAGCCCCCCTGTTACTATGTGAGACTTCTATCCCTAAGAAGTACTTCAAGGGCCCTAGATCTTTGGTCTAGAAGCAAGTAGCAAGGAAAGCTTTCAGTTTTGAAATACGACTCGCATCACTGCCGGTGATCACAATATGATGAACATACACAACTAATAGAATGCATCCAGAATTGGAGGTAAAAAAGAAAACTGAGTGATCATAAGCACTCCTGCGTAGGCCAAATTTAAATATTGCAGCACTGAAACGGCTGAACCAAGCTCGTGGGGATTGTTTCAGACCATACAACGATTTCCTTAATTTACATACCTTTCCGGACTCCCTCTGAGCAACAAACCCTGGTGGTTTCTCCATGTATACTTCTTCAGTGAGGTCACCATTCAAAAAGGCATTTTTGACATCAAGCTAATGGAGTGTCCAATTGTAAGTAGCAGCCAAAGAGATAAACAATCGAATGAATGTAAGTTTGGCAACAGGAGAGAAAGTGTCAAAGTAATCTATACTATATGTTTGAGCATAACCCTTAGCTACTAACCGTGCCTTTAACCGAGCAACAGAACCATCGGGATTCATTTTGACAGTGAACACCCATTTACACCCAATAGCTTTCTTGTCGGGTGGAAGATAGACAAGGTCCCATGTGTGGTTCTAATCGAGAGCCATCATCTCCTCTCGCATTGCCTCTTGCCAACCAGGATGAGCTAGGGGTCAACAAATAACCGACAATACCGGTAAAACCGAAAAACGACACCCGAACCGATCGAAAAAGTCGGTCATCAGTCAGTCATCGGTTATTACATATTAAAAGAAGTCGGTTATGCGGTTATTCGGTTAACGGTCGGTTATTTTAATCGGTTATCGGTCGGTTAACCGAAAACCGAATTATAGTCTACTCCGTATAAACGTTTGTATGTACTTCATTTAGGCTATGATGTTTCACTTAATAACATATCATAATTACTCTAAAAAATAATGTCAAATATATGACCAAAATTAGTATTGTGGATACAAACATATCATGAATGGTATACTCACGTTAACTTTGGTCATATTCTAGTTTACTTTAGTATCTAGTACTCTGTAATATTTAAGGAAAGCCCTCATATTTTAATAAATCTCGTGTATTTAGTGGTTAACCCAAAAGAGATAAAATGACACTCGTGCACAAGAAAAACTACCAGTAGCGTAAGAAAACTAATTTTATTATGAGATGATTTAATTCATTACTTCTTATTTATTTCATGAATGGAGAAAAAACATTTTATATATGATCAACTATTTCATTCATTTTGTTTTGTAGTGTAAAAAATCAATTATTTCATCCATTTTTGTATCAAATATTTTTTCTAATATTTTTATTTAAAGCATTCAATTTTTTGGAAAAAATATGCTTAAAAAATTTATATGGTCGGATATTGTCGGTTATTCGGTTACCGACCGAAACCGAACTATGTTTTTTCGGTCGGTTATTGTGATGTTATAGGTCGGTTTCAGTCGGTTATTAGAGTTAAAAAATTGGGTCGGTTATTCGGTTATCAGTCGGTTATTTGACCGACCGACCGAATGCTCACCCCTTGGAAGAAGGTGACAATGCATTAAGTCAGAAAGGAAGAAACAGGATAAGTACAAGTATCTGGAGATCAAGGTCAGATGGAGCAGGTCAGATGGAGCAGAATCTGGAGGCAATGCAGAAGATGATGGTGGTACATTGGTAGCCATAGTAGGTGCCGTAGTCACAGGACACACATGACGTGAGTAAACTTTAAGAGGAGGTGAAGGAGGAGGGGAAATCGATGGGGAAACCTCACTGGGGGGATAGATTCTGGCTGGCTGATTTTATAGACTAGACACTCATCATTAGAGAGTTCCAAAGAAGGGGATGAAGATGAACTGGGCTGAAAGAAAGGTGTTTCTTCAAAAAATGTGACATCTACAGAGATAAGATATCATCCCAGTGAAGGAGAATAACCCAGAAACACACACTTGATTAATTTAGGATCAAGTTATGAGACTAGGGAATGCATATCGTGGACAAAACATGTGCAACCAAACACATGAGGCACAAGAGAGAACACTGACTGAGAGGGAAATAAAACGGAGTACAGAATCTGACCATTAAGGACATAAGAAGGCTTATGATCGATAAGGTAGCACACAGTGGATACAACGTCTACCCAAAATGGTTCAGGAACCCTCATGTGAAATATTAAGGCTTGAGCTACATCTAGTAGGTGATATTCTTTCGTTCCACTACACCATTTTGTTGGGTGTATAGGGACAAGAAATGTGGTGTAAAATTCCATGGCGAGATAAGTAAGTGCAAAAAGTGCGAGATAGAAGTCTTTAGCATTATCACTTCTCAGAATGCGTATATTCTTATTAAATTGAATTTGAATTTCAGCATGAAAGGTACAAAATGCAGTAAACACATCTCAACGGGATTTCAAAGGATAAAGCCAAGTAACCCAAGAAAAATCGTCCACAAATGTAACAAAATAACGATGACCAAGTTTGGAAACGACAGGACAAGGACCCCACACATCAGTGTGAACTAAATCAAAACTAGACTCGACTTTTTTATTTATTCGAGGAGGGAAAGTTGTCTTGAGATGCTTGGCAAAGTGACATGCTTCACACTCCAAAATAGACTGCCGTGATAGACTAGGACACATTTTTTGTAGTACAGAAAGAGATGGATTACCAAATTGACAATGAACTTTCAACAGAGACGAACTTGTGCATGCAAGTGATCTCGGCGCCAAGGATTCAAAAACATATAAGCCATTAACCAATCTGCCTTTACCAAAAATCTGCTTCGTCCCAAGATTCTGAAAAATACTTTGGGGTATCTTACTTGTGAAGTAAATCCGACAAAAGCTATAAACGGCCTCTTGTACAGGAAGGGAAGAGACATGATGTTCAAAGGAGTCTCCAGCAATGGCCAGTTCGAGATCTTCAAGATCCATGTCTGTCATAGCAGTTTAACAAAAAAATAAAACATTAGAACCCTAATCACATGAATGCATAGATCAACACACATAGGTAGATCGATTAAAAACTTATATTTTTCTTGATTAGGCAAACGAACTCCAATGGTCGATAATTAAGAGGAATTCAAGAGGGCAACTGAATAAATTCTCGAGAGAAGATGAACAGATGGAGAGAACGAAGGTTATTGTCGGAAACTGGGTTCTTCGTATGGGGGGGGTTGGGATTAGTATGAAGTATACGAGACGGACTGGTTGGGTAGTGGGTGGGTAGTTAATGGTATCTAATTAATTGTAAATGTGGGTGGGTGGTGTGAAGGGTAGTTATGGCAAATCATGTAAAAGAAATTGCCAAAAAAGGAAACGTAAAGGAGTAAATGGGACGTCCCAAAAAGGAAAGTGTAAAGATTTAAATGGGACAGAGGGAGTAAAAGCTAAGCTAGGAATAGAGCTCTTGACCTCTTGCATACTTACCACACGCATAATAACATCATTCAACTCGGCCAAGCAGTTTTTGTTACATTACTCGTGAATAATGTTAAGATATATTCATCAGACATATCTACATGTATAGTTTTATATTTGGTATATATATATATAGAGGTTGGGTGGGGGTTGAGAGGGGGCAGTTCCCCCCCCCCCCCCCCCCCCCAGATATGCCCCTGGTTACAGCAGTTCAATGTAAAAAACGCTTTCTTGCATAGAGATTTAAAAGAAGAGATATATATGGAGATTCCCCCGGGGTTTGCCCCTACTTCAGGGAGAAATATGGTCTGCAGATTGAAAAAGGCCCTATACGGGCTCAAGCAATCACCCTGAGCATGGTTTTGGAGGTTTACTCCGTATCAAAGAAGACTCATTTATATCTCACACAAGGCCTGATATAGCCTATCTTGATATATCTCGTGTTGTAGGCAGTGAATAGAATCTTGCAATATTTGAAGGTAAGTCCAAGGAGAGGGCTGCTATTCAGAAAGGAGGAACACTTATCAATTGTTGACCGGAGGTCCTGAGAACCCAGAGTAATTTAAATATTAATCCCAATAGAGATTTTTGTAGGGTGTACACCCGGAGGGCTAGAAAGGGGAATCTGGGAGTAAGCAATTAGTTGAGTGGAGGGGACCACTGTAAAAGGAATAAAGAGGGAGGCCAGAAGAGAGAGTGATAGGCTGTTATTCAGTTAGGACTTGGAGAGCATGAGACTCTCTCATTGCCTGGACTTTCTTCACTTTTCCGATTACCTTACTTCTTTACATTTTGAATTGGAGATCATTTACTTGATTTATATCCATATTATTTCCTAGCATTTGTGAATATTTGTGTATTCTATCGGGTCCACTACTGGATATTGCATGTTCTTAAGTGGATATTTGGTGACATGGAGCAAAAAGTAGAATGTTGTAGCAAGATTGAGTGCAGAAGCAGAGTTTAGAGCCTTGACTCATGGGGTTTGTGAATTGTTACTAGGAGATTTAAAAATACCTTGTAAAGCTCCTATGTGACTCTTCTGTGATAATAAATCTGTTATTAGTATAGCTCATAATCAAGTTCAGCATGATAGAACAAAATACATAAAATTGGATGGTGGTCTTATTTCAACACAATATGTTCCTTCGGGGCCTCACTTAGTTGATGTGTTCACCAAAGGTTTTCCCGTAGAGAGATTTCAAAAGCTTACTTGCAAGCTGGGAAAGATAGTTATTCGTTCACCAGCTTGAGGGGGGAGTGTAGAGATATTACAATATTTGGTTGAATATTATGAGTCTAAGGATCAACTTTGAGTTCTTTTTTATTTAGTATAACCATGGATGAACTTACAAAGTCAATTCAATAAGACGTATCATGGTGCATGATGTTTGCCGACGATATTGTATTGATTGATTAGACATAATCGGGTGTTAAAGCAAAATTGGGAGTATGACGACAAACATTGGAGAGCAAGGGTTTAGACTGAGTTGAGGCAAGATTGAGTATATGGAGTGAAAGTTTAATGGAAGTAGAATTAGTGGTAACCGTGGGGATGGCAAGGAGGTACCATTCTGTGATATGTTATGTTACTTGGGCTCCATAATTGAGAAAGACGGTGAACTAGATGGAGCTGCATCTTGTAGAATCATACTCAGGTGGATGAAATGGAACAGTGACTCAGGATTTCTACGTGATCAAGGTATGTTGACTAGATTGCAGGGTAAATTTTATCGATCAACAATTAGGCCCACATTAATGTATAGCGTAGAGTGTTGGGCAGTGAAACAATGTTACATTCAAAAGATGAGTGTGATCGAGATGCGTATGTTGCGTTGGATGTGTGGACATACGAGAAAAGATCGCTTGAGGAATGAGATAATCAAACAAAAGGTGAGAGTAACACCTTTAGAAGATAAGATGTAGGAGTTCGATTGCAATGGTTTAGTTATGTCCGTTGAGGACTGAGTGATACACTTGTTAGACGAATATAGAGGTGGGAAGAAGTGACGGAGAGGAAAGAGAGAGAAAGACCCAAACAGACGTGGATTAGAGGAATCAGAACTTATATGCTTCTTCTTGGGTTGGATGAGAGTATGGTTTTGGAAAAACCAAAGTGGAGAGCACATATTCGTGTGGTGGAGGATTTATCTCTTCTCTCTTTTCTTTCTCTCGTTTTCTTTTATCATTTTATCTTCTTTATCTTTCTTATGTTCTTATGTTTTTTTTATCTTTTATCTTTCTTATGTTCTTTTATCTTATATATATTTATTTTTATCTTATCCTTTTGATATTACCTTATCTTTTTATTTTTATTTTTATTTTTTCATTTTCTTTTTGGCTCCGATATCATGGATTGTATCATGTTAGCCGACTCCAAAATCTTTTGGGAATAAGACTTGAATGTTGTTGTATTATGAGGTTTGTTCTGATTATAATCTTATTTCCTAGAACCAAGTAGGAGAATTCTATTAATTTAGGAGATCTTGTACATAATTACTCTTTCCTTTGTTAAGTTAGTCCAGACCTAAAAATTTTAATTTGCTGTTATATGCACTCTTAAGAAATAAATTCTATTCTTCAAGTACTATTATTATTAATATTATTAATTTATATTATTATATTAAAGTTGTCATTCCTACTAGCAGTCTGTAATAGGTCTAGGGTTACTCTAATACTGGTCTACCAGTACCAGGACTCTTGGAGCTAATGTAAAAAGTGGGGTCATTTATAATGTCATCAATATTTTGGAGTTATCCCTTGCATTCTTGACAAGGTCAGATGCCACCTTCTTTTGCCTAGGGCGGAGAACTTCATCTTATCTTTAATGATTTTGATCTTTTATTTTCATTTCCAACCGCGCCTGCAATTGTTAGCTGCATCATTGGAAACTATGTTAAAATTACGCAAACAACAGTACATTATTTTCACATGAAAAAGTGGCAATGCCAAAGCTCCCCCATGATTTGTGTGGGGTCTTGGGAAGGGATAATAGAAGAAATCTTTCTTTCAAGGCATAAAATGTGGAGTGGCTGTTCCAAAGTTTCACCTATAAAATATAACACTAGCTAATATATACTTTCTAAGCAACAGTGTTCCCTTGAAGAAATTCCCTGCACATCACTCTTGAGGATTATTTCCTTCTCAGGCCTTTTTAATCTAACAACTATAAACATTTAAGTCATTAACTAGCCGCTTCATTACTTCTGACTTGCAGGATTGAAAATCAGCCCAAGGGAACTTGCTTTACTTTGTCAAAAGGTTAGGCTCTGCTTGGTCACCTCCAACTAGTTTTATTTTCGATGTTCTGTCTTTGAATTTTTGTATACTACTTTCAGGTAGAGAACCATGTTGTTGGAGCTCCATGTGGTGTAATGGACCAGATGACTTCTGCATGTGGCGAAGCAAATAAACTTCTTGCCATGATTTGCCAGGTACCCTACTTTCTTCCTGATGGGGAGACAGATTCATATTTATTTGCATAACTTTTAAGTTTATGCTCTTTGTGTTTTTCAGCCTGCTGAGGTGTTGGGTCTCGTGGATATTCCTGACCATATTAGATTTTGGGGAATAGATTCTGGGATAAAACATAGGTAATAAATAATTCAGCCAAATTCCTAACTCCTACTGCTCCTTTTCTTGTGAGAACGTTAGTAGGATATGGCAACTCTATTGCTCCAGTGATATTCTTAAGTGATAGCACATCTGCATTTTGCTGTTCTGTAGTATGCTCAGGAATGCCTTGCCAAGTAGCATGTTAAGTACTTCATATTTATAATATTGGCACTACACATGTCTATCAGGCCAAGTTTCTTGGAACAGCCTGGGGCCAGCCCTTAAAGCCTGGATCAGATGCCTTGGACTCTTGGAGTAGGGGTGAGCAAACAACCAACCAAACTGACTTAAACGAAATCCAATAACTGATTTGCGGTTCTCACTTACAGAAACTTGTCGGTTATTCAGTTACAATACAGTTTTTATTCATCAGTTCGGGTTGGTTACCGATAACCGAACTCCTTATATAATCAACTGTTAACACTATAATTCAGAAACCCATCAGCCCAAACTGATTAGCCACCCTAATGACTAAACTTCTTCAAACGTCTTCCACCTTCGCACAAATAAGCAATCCACCTTCTACCTATGGCAAGTTCGCGCACTTCCGTCAACACGTTCTTCCAATATTTGACCTGTTCCTTCATCAATCCACCTATTGCAGCACTGCTCCAGGCCTCCACACATTTATCAAGACATGCTATTAAGAGTTAAGAAACAGAGGTTTTACTAATTCATACACAAGTCTAAAATAAACTTTGGATCTAATAGTTTTATCAGTATAAAGCTATCAGGTTCGAGAGCATGTGCTTCTAGCTCTATGAAGTCATGGTTCAGGTTCACGACTATAGATTATGCTCCGATATTCAGTCACCAACCGAAATCAAACATCAACTTTTCGTTCAGTTATAGTGATAATTTTGGTCTGTCATTGGATTTCAATTTTTATCAGTTATTCAGTTATCAGTCAACTAAGAGAGAATTCCCTAAATAGGAGTAAAAAATTTTTGAAATTCCAAAATAGGAGTATCATGTTTTTTATTCCTTGAATAGGTGTAAATTTCTGCCAAGATTGGCATTACTAGGCTTTAAAACATGGCATTTTTTCCCAAACATGGCAGATTACTCCTATTCAGGGAATAAAAAACATGATACTCCTATTTTGGAAATTTTAAACGTTTTTGCTCCTATTTAGAGCAATTTCTAGTCAATTAACTGATCTACTGAATGCTCGCTCACCCCTGCCTGGGGGTCTTGGACCCAGCCGGAAATCGATGAACAAGAGTAAAAGATACTAAGCTCCTCAATTAATTGTGGAACTTTTAGCTTGTGTTTGTTTAAAGAGACATATAGGAGAAAGAAAGAGAAAAGAGAGAAAGAATCACTTTCTCTTGTTGGTTACGAGAGAATCAGAGCAGAGAAAAAACATGTGGCCCTATAACCTTTTTGTTTCTTCTCTTCCATGATAAGAAATAGGAAGGAAATGGGTTTTGTGTTGCGTTTTCCCATATTAACCTTGTAATTTTTTTTCATATAAGGAGGGGTATTTTGTGATTTGATAACTGCTACTCCCTCCCTCAGTCTCCTTCACATGATGTAAGATGCATGTGGGTTTGGTACGGGTTTTATGAAAATAAAGGATAAAGTGGTTGTTTTACAATTCTAACCTCCAAAAAGTAAGAAAGAGAAAAACAGATCTACAAAAAGTAAAGGATGAAATGATAGATAAAGGGATAAAGTGGGAAAGCAAAAAGTTAGTGGAGTCCAATTTAAGAAAGTGTTCATATTTTTGGGACAAACCAAAAAGAAAAGTGTATCTCACAACATGGGACGGAGGGAGTATTCTTTTGCCCTTTTCAAGTAAAAATTATGTAATTCATATTTTCCACTCCTTTTACACAAATTTCCACTGCACATTTTTTATTTTCTTAATGGGAGTATCAATTTCTAATTATTTTGAGTTATTTTCTTCTCTTCTCTTTCTTATTTCTCTAATACCACACAGTACAATAAATCCTTTCTATTTGTCCCATCTTCTTTTCTTTCTTTCTTCTACTTCCTCTCACTCTTCTCAATTTCTCCTATCAACCGAACAAAGCATTAGCAAATGTTTGGGAGGGACTATTTTACACTACTTTATCATTATACATCTGTATATAAAAAATTTATCAAGTTGATGCACCATTTTCTTAAAATGAATAACTCCCCAATAAAGGAGAAAGGGAAAAACACACTCAAAGTAAACACCACAAATACTTGATATTTGTGATGCATACTGTTTATCGAGTATACTAAGAGTACATGGTCTGAATTCCTGCATCTGATACTACATTCTACTTGCAAACATGGAACCTCTACCTTCTTTTGCCCTCTCCACCCCTGCAAAACCTAACCAATTATATTTTGCAGTGTTGGAGGTGCAGATTATAAATCTGTAAGGGTTGGAGCATTTATGGGCCGAGAGATTATCAAATCTATTGCATCAGCATTTTTAACTCGGTCACCATCACCTAATGGGGGGGTCACTCATGATGAGCCAGAGGAAGATTCTATGGAACTGCTTGAAGTGGAGGGTTCCTTAGATTACTTGTGCAATCTTTCCCCGCACAGGTAAAAAACGATAATGGTGCTTAAATAGTTTATATTCTTCCAATTGGACTTCCTATTTTACCTTTCTTTTTTCTCTTTTGCTGATTTTCCTGTACCAAAATGAGAATACATATACAGATATGAAGCTCTTTATGAGAAGATGCTTCCTGTATCTATGTTTGGTGATGCATTCCTTGGAAAATACGTAGACCATCATGATCCTGTGACAGTAATTGACAGAACATGTAACTATGGTGTCAAGGCGGCTGCTAAGCATCCTATATATGAGAACTTTCGTGTCCAGGTTAGTAGTTTTATTTTGAATCCATAAAGAGCTATATCCGTAGTTTGTACCTACAAATATACCTTATTGCACAGTTTGTCAGTATGAAAAAATCTGCTTTCATAGTTTCACATGGTATGGTGTCAGAGCTTTGTGTTCAAACGTAAAACACTTAGCCCTAGCCGCCATATATTTCCGGTGTGAACAATGTCAGTCACATACGGTTTCTGTTCGATCCAAACTCTTCCGACGGAATTCTATTTGTTCTAAACCTACCATCACGTTAAGACTACCGTCTTGACGCTTCACCGTAATCTCATTGCCAAGAACTTCTGCATTCGCCACCATTCCTTCTGGCCCTAATTTGGGACCTTCTTTCCGATCTCCTTTTTCGAAAATCCTCTATCGCCACCACCCACATTGTTGCACTCCTCTCTGGTAACCTTACCAAGTATTTTTGACTGCCATCCAACACAACCATGTGCCGCCGCTGTCTCGATGCGCCGCCGTCTACTTCACGCACCAGTCTTCTTCTGCCACAAATTTCAGTTTACCTCACTGCTTTATATGGCACCCAACACACCCTTTTTATTGCTCTTCCGAGCATTACCCTTGACAAGTTAGTTGGAAGTACAAATTATCAATCTTGGGCTGCTTCTGTTGAGTTATGGTTCAAAGGTCAAGGAATGGGTGTCACTTGGCGGAGGCCAAAGATATCACTAAAAAAACGCTAGATTGGGAACAGATGGATGTTGTGTTGTGTATGGATGCAAGACTACGTTGCATTTACCCATTCAACACCTTTGTGGTCTTTCCCAGATTTGGTGTCTATCTGTGATAAAATGCAGTTTAGTTTGTCAGGCTCATTTTTTCATATTTTGTGGTCTTTACAAATATGCCCCAGCTTGCGGGGGAGTGTGGAAACCCTAGTTGTATTGGGCTTAGTCCATTTGTGTAAAGAAACTCTAATGCTCTAATTTAACTATAAATAGAGCTACTTGTATATGTGGCTGAAGACAAAAAGTTCAAACATTCCCTCATATATTTTTCAACTGGACAGACCCATTTAGACGTAAGCTAATATTGGACCTGAGCTCCCCTCCTTAAATTCAATGTACTCCTCACACACTTTTTTGGCCCTGGTAGGCTAACAATCCCTAACAAACTTTAATACAGTTAGCGGGTCAGGCCTAGCCCCCCCCCCCCCCCCCCCGCTTCTTGTATTAGAGCCCATTTGGTAATAGTCAAATCAGTTGTATTGGTTAATTCTGCTGAAATTTATGAAATTCTGGTTGAAGTGGCTGGATTGACTGAATCTGCTGATTTGTGAAAAAAGTGTTTAAAATATATTTTAGTAATAAAATGAAGAAAAAGTTATATAAAAAATAGCTAAAATGAACCTCTACCGTAACTTCAGCCAATATAGCCAGAAAAGTAACTCTAGTCTTACTTTTTATTATTATTATACAATTCAGCGCAGAAATCAAAAGTTACGTGTTTGGTGAAAAAGTTGGATGATAAGCCCGATAAGCTAAAAATAGGTTACCAAACAGGCTCTTAATCTTCCATTTTGTCATTTACCTCACCGACTTAGGTGGTTCAACCTACCGGGTTAGAAAAAAACTAGAGCTATTTGTATAACATTTCAATATGAAGTATAATGAATACTACCTCCGTCCCATTAGAAGGTTCCCGTCCACTATTTGCATGGTCAACTTAAATCATTTTTAATCGTTTACTTTATAAATCAAATTTTTATCAAATTTACATTTTTTTATCAGTCTTTGTAGTGGTTTTAATGTAGTTTCTGAATATATTAATTTTATTTACTAAAACTAATCAGAGTGTGAACAGGGATTAAGTTGCTTTATCGTCAGTCAAGCATTGTAAACCGTTCACGGGAACCTTCTAGCGGGACGGACGGAGTATAATCATATATTTCACAGACTTTGACTACCTTAGCTTGGTGCCACCTATGGGCTTATTGAAGAGGTACGGAATGATTCCACAATACTTTCTATAAGAACCATGGTCGAAGAACATGTTGGGACCTATCAGGGCGTTGAGCCTGTTCCAAGTGTGGCTTTTGCCATTGGTTAGGTTTTACTAAGGGTCAATGTTGGAAACTACATGGAAAGCCTCAGTCAGCTAATGTTGCAGGTTCTAACACATCCAGTTGTGATATCTCCCTCAAAATATGAGGAATACCAAACTTCCTTGTTGTCCGCCTGTGTTTCAAACTTGTGTAATTCATCGATCCTTGACTCCGGTGTCTGTGACCATATATCATGTAATCCTTATCTTTTATCTAATATTTCAAAGCATCTAAACTTGTTCAAGATAGCTTAGGCCAGTGGTCTCACACCGCTTCCATGGAGTTGGACAGGTCCTCCCAAAATCATCATGATTGCTGGAGTCAGTTTATATGTTCCCAATAACCCCTTTAATCTTGTTTCTGTGAGTAAAATTACTCATTTCCTGGATTGTTCAATAACCTTTTCTGCTCATTCTCTGGTTCTAAAGGACCATTGTATAGAGAAGATGGTTGGTGTCTGGTTTGAATCTCGAGGCCTCTATCACTGTCATCATTCTGATTCAGTTGCTTGTGTCTACTGAATCAGCAATTACTCTTCATAAATGCTTGGGGTGTCCTCGTCTCCAAGTTTCGTTGAGTGGTCCCAGGTGTATCTAGTCTTTTGAGTTTAGATTGTGAGTTGTGTCACCTTGGAAAACAATCTAGTTAGTCCTTATCAGGTGAGTGAATAAACGGGCTGCGTCCCCCTTTGATATAGTTCATAGGGAGGTTTGAGGTCCTTATTTTGTCACGTCTACATTGAGTTTTTTTTGTTATTTTTTGGTGATCTTTGTAGATGTACATGGACTAATTTCAATAAATGACCGTCGTGAATGGTTTCATATCTTGCAAAGTTTTGGTGCTGAAAACAAACACAATTTGGTCAATTTGTGCTGAGATTGAAACATAATTTGGCCATTTTATCTAAGTCCTGAGAATTGACAAAGCTAAATAAATTTTCACAAATCCATTCAATCAATTGATGGCTTCCCGTGCTATGTTTCACCAAACTTCCTGTTCTATACAACCCAACACAAATGACACAGCACGTAGAATGGTCTGCTAGGTCAATCAAATGTGTCTTTCTATGGTGTGTTACCTTTTTGTTTGTCACTTTGTCTCAGCTGATGTGACCTTTATTGAATCCTGCCTTTTCTACCCACCATTTCAAACAGATCAGTCTAGCTTTTATGATTTTGTCTCAATATCTCAGGATCATCTATCCCCAGATAGAAGTCTAACCAGTCAGCTCATCCAATGCGCTGGTTTACTATCGTTGACCATGATCTAACCCTGTTGAGGCTATGCCCGCTGATTCCCCTGCTACAGATCCACATCATTCTACACCAGATTCACCAATAAATAACTGTAATCTACCTATTGGAAGGCGAAAGGCTTGCACTCTTCTTGTAATTCTTATCCTATATATAATTTCCTTAGTTATCACTGTGCTTCCACACCTTATTACTGCTGTGTCAATTTCTTACACTACCCGTGAAGCACCGTCTCATCAGGGGTGGTGTGAGGTTATCTTTGCTCAGATGGGGGCTTTAAATTCTAGTAAGATGCGGGAGTTGGACCCGCTTCTGTCTGGTTAATCTGTTGTTTGTTGGCGGTTGATATACTGTAAAGGTCCAATGAGATGGAAAGATTGCCTTAAAGCACATCTTGTCCCAATAAGGGTACACTGAGATTTACTTGTTAGATTACGCTGATACCTTCTCACTTGTGGTTTAGATTGCATCAATGTATTTACATCCCCCCTCCCAAATTGCTAGTCCCGGATTTCCTAATTGGGTTATCCCAAATTGATATTCTCATTTCCCTTTTTGGCATGAAACTTGATGTGCAATTCCAATTTAACCTTCTTATTATTTTAATCTACAATACCCCACCTCGTGGGAGCCTTTGCGGCACTGGGGTAATGATGATGAAGAAGAGGATTATTTTAATCTACAACTTCACCATCCTATTATTTTCCCCACCCTCCCCATTATCTCCTCGCTCTTTGTGTTCGTATCTTCCTCTCCTCTCCTCTGAACTTGTTCTTATTCCCAATCAAAGAGAGCCTCTAGGGTTTATGGGGCGGCGGGATGTGGCGGCAGCGGAAGAACATAGGTGGGTCTCCCTCCCCCATCCTCTTAATCTTCATATCCTCACACTTTTAGGGTTTCTAGGATCTATGGGAAGGTGGAATGCAGCTGCAGTGGAAGCAACAAAGTTGGGGACTGTTTCGGCAGAGTGGTTGAGGAGAGAAGAGAATGCATGTCTATTTGTTTCAGCCACTTTTAGTTACTCCTGAGTCCTGAAGCAACGTGGCTGTTGTGACCAGTTTAAGTGATGGAGCTTTAGCCAATTTGGCACAGAGAGAAGAGTCATCGGCGGTTGCAGAAAGGAAGACCGTACTCGACGGCTGTGCGTGTTAGCCATGGGTGGCAGAGAGGCCATTTTCTGGGCCCATTTGGGGAAGCAATCCGAAACAAGGGTAATTGAGGAATTTCAACACACTATCTTAAAATATGTGCCTAGAAAACATGTGACTATCAGGGGCGGAGGAAGTAACTATTTAGAATGAATTAAAAGGATTTTAAATTTAAGTTATTATGGATGTATATTTTATAAATATTACATAGTAGCTTTCTCCTAGGATCTTGGGATCTTAGTTACGATCTACCAATCCTCTCCCAATTCGTGTTACGGTTTTAAGCTTAACAACCTTTTACATAAGGTCCTCGGGCCGCATCATTGCACCAGTGATCAAATTTGTCCTCAAATAGTCAAATGTGAGTGCATCATCGAAATGCCTAATGAGTCCGGATGTTGAATAATTTTGTAGAAGATTCCTCCAATGTATGTCACAGTCATCATATCATCATAATGTGAAGTGCTTAAAATATTAACATTATTTCATGTTCAGGCATTTAAAGCGTTGCTAACATCTGCAACTTCAGATGATCAGCTCACATCTCTGGGAGAACTATTGTATCAGGTACTCGGATGTTTCGAGTTCAATTTCGTGTTACCATTGTTTCTTTGATGTTACATATTTGTTCTGAAGAAATTGCTTCAAATAGGGGTAAACATAATAAAGTTAAAAACAGGACTGTGTTTTATTCCTATTTAATTTATTTAATCTCACTGAAAGAATAAAACATAAAAACTTTCCAAAATAGGAGCGAATGAATCCTATTTTGGGAAGAAAACAAAGACTCATATAATCTTATTTAGGAAATTTTCTCTTCATTTTAATACATGGCATGGATCATTTTACAGTGCCACTATAGCTATAGTGCATGTGGACTAGGCTCAGATGGAACAGATAGGCTTGTTGAGCTAGTGCAACAAGTTCAGCATGGTAAGGCCTCAAAATCCGCAGAGGGGACTTTATATGGTGCAAAAATCACTGGTGGAGGGTCTGGTGGAACTGTTTGTGTGATTGGCAGGAATTCTCTCCGGAGCAGCGAGAAGATTCTTGAGGTAATTTTTGCATGTATTTCTTTTGCTGTGATTTTTTGCGGGTACCTGGCTGAGCGTTACAGTCTTAAATGACTTCAGGTTTACTGTATGGATGAGCACTTTGGGAACATTATCCTTTTGAGTGTTTTGTTGCTTTTGGACCAAAGTTCCTATTCACAAACACATTTTCTTTTCCAACTTTTTTGCACAAAAAAAACATTGGTTTGAAACATCATTTTGAGACTTACTGCCCCCATTCCATATAAGTGGTGTACTATTATGTGGTGAAACCTCGGCTCTCGTTTAATCTCTAAATTTGTGTCAATATTTTTATCATTATTCAAATGCGATTTTGAAGGGGAGCATTTGTGCTCCGGTTACGGTGTTGCTGTGTGAGCGAGAGGTCACAGGTTCAAGTCTCAGGGACGGTCTTTTATTAAAATGACAAGAGAGGGTTGGTTGTCAAAATGACAACGAAGCTCCTTAGGCTGGTTGCAAACATGCTCATTCAATAAATAAATAAAATGAGCCTAAAAACTCTTGGCAGTCAGATTCCCAGATTTTTTATATTTTATATATATGGTATCATATGAAAGATCAAAACATTTTATGAATTTCAATACTCCCTCCGTTCTCTAATAATTGTGTTTTTCACGGTTTTTAAGAAAAAAATAGGAGTAATACAGAGGATGTAGGGTAATGAAAAAGTAGGAAAGAGAGTATATTAAGAAGAGAAAAATAATGAAAAAGTAGGAAAGAGAAAGTAGTTTATAAAAAGTAAAAAAAGGTAAGGGTAATAAAAGTGAGGGTCTAAAGATATTTTGATAGGAAAAACATACTAAAAAGGGAAAGAGAGAAAAAGTAATACGAGTAAAAAACATCACGAAAAAGAATACGAGACAGATATAGAGAACGGAGGAAGTATATGTTTTGTAAAAATTGGAATACATATAAAAAATTATAACACTACAAAAAAAAAGTTTTTCGACCCCGGGTTGTGGAAGCCTGCTTTGGGCTTCTTTCCTCAAGCGTAGCCCAGGGAGCACCCATGTTCTCTTGCTTTTCTTTTCAGCTTGGGGGAATGGGGATAAATTCCCCATCCAGGGGTGCCCCCTACCTCCTCCATACCCACTGTCCCACTATGACATCCTCCTATTCCTATACTATTTTTTGTTATGCTTGCACACCATGTAAGGTGAAAACATCAAATTCCCACCTTTCACCCCGATGGTTGCAACCAGTCTTATACACCCTTGTGGTGGGACCCTTCCCAGGACCCTTGTTCTGTGGGGACAACAATGTGCACCGGGCTGTCCTTTTATTCAGATGTGATTTGTTGCTAAGGCTTGAATGTTGGTGTTGTATTCAAATGTGACTTTTGAGCATGTATAGAATCTTTAGTGTGGTTTCTAAATGTATACTACGTAATACTTGATCAGTGATATCAACTTACCAACTCAACTATTAGGTGGCCAAAATTAACTCTACTTTTCGTTAAATTTTCTAAATACTAACGGGAACCCTAAAATGGTATGGAGGAGAACAAATAATTTTTATAACATAGAGTTTTCAAACCAATTTGACCCACACTTCCAGATTTCTTACCCCCAATATTTACTTGTGTTAGCTTCAACATGGAGATCACTTTAGAATTTAAATTAATGATGATGGTTGGTATTTGTGATACTTCGATTCAGATTCAACAGAGATATAAGGCAGCAACTGGATATTTGCCTATTATCTTTGAAGGTTCATCACCTGGTGCTGGGAAGTTTGGGTATCTCAGAATTCGCCGCCGCTGCATCCCTTCCACTGTCCAAGCAAAGGCTGATCATTAATTTTTAGTAGTCCATTTGAGATATAGAGACCTGCGAAGTGCTACGATAAATATGTATACAACACAATTATTATTCTAGATAATTATGGGTACGTGTTGGTTACCATATTCATTATAATGCATAAAAAGTTGAAACCCTTCCCTTAAAGTAGTCCAGACTTTTACTAACTGTGTACGCAAGAGCATGGCCAAGAGTCTCCAGCTAGAAATTAATGGCCATGGTTGCTTACGATACTTGCAGTAATACCTTACAAGTCTTACACAAGGACACAATTTTTTTTGTTCTGAAAAGTGCTGTAAATACCTTTTTAGCAGTTGCAAAGAGGAAACCTTAAAAATTTTAAAATGATTTTATTTATTAAAATAACTAAAAGGTTTCAAATTGTGAGCCTACACTTCTTACTAAACCATACACAAATATTCTTTATTGCCATAATATTAACTATAACAGCTCACTCATGCACGTTTGCATGCACACATAATGGTGTACACTTAAGTAGAGTGGCAAGTAGCTTTGCTCTGTCTTTTGTTTTTTAGAAGTTAGTTGGAAAGTTTGACAGGTTGTTAGGCATATATTTTTCTTTTCTTCATGTATAAATACTGATTCGCACAACCAATTTCCTGACTTTATGTCTTTGCCCTGATTAATAAACAAGATACATTTTTCTAAACAAGATACAACCATATGCTTACCGTGCTTGAATCCACAAACAAGGATGATTCATTGATGGTTCATTCCCTTCTCCTGCCATCACTGATCCTCTTTATGAACCATGAGGTGCAATAGAATGGTCATGACATGGCTTACCAGAACAATGTCTTCACATATAGCAGAATTAGTTATATATTTTGAAACAACTGAAACAATATGGAATGATTTATCTGACAGGTTTTCTCATGGTGATATGTTCCGTATTGTTGATCTTCTTGAAGAAGTTCAACAACTTTGTCAAGGTTTTTCTTCTTGAAGGAGCTAGAACAATTTCGTACCATTATAGTCTGTTCTTGTTCAAATCCTTGTTTATGTGAGGATGAATATATATCATCAAGTTTCTAAGAGGCTCAAATGAGGAAATTGCCCGAGCAAGAATGCAAGATCTCAGATCATGATCTTTAATACCATGCCTACTTTAACAAAAGCTTTTTCTCTCATCCTTCAACAAAAACGGGAATTTAGATCCAATATTTCCTTCAAAGCCATCACTACCAGCTCACTCAATGTCTCAATGTTGTTACTCAAGTCCAATAAAAGAAGACTTCATTTGTCAGAGGTAATTCTTCCAATCCTCGTGGAACTTCTCAAACTAATTGTTGTGGTGGAAGAGGCAGTTGTTACGCTGATCAATGTGGGAGATCATCATATTAGAGACACTTGTTTTCAGATATATGGATATCCTCCATGCTACAAATCCAAACAACACAACACATCAAATCCTTCTTTTTGCTAATTTGATCCCCAATGCAAACTCACGGTCTTAGTGTCCTGCAGTTAATCTACCTCAAGAACAATTCGCTTTATCCAAAGAGCAATATCAAGGAATAATCTGACACTCACGCTTCTTCGCATTTTTTTAATCAAGCTTATGTTGTCCCTTTGATTCACCCCGGCAATCATTCTCATTCTCTCATTTGGATCATGGATTTTGGTGCTACTATCCACATCTGTCCATCTAAACAATTTTTCTCTACACTTTTGTCACAACTTCTTAGTAAGAATGAGCTATAAAGCTATTGATGAATTATAGGGGTATCCAAACTATAATAAAATGGAGAGATTTGAGCTAACGAGAGGAAGAAGATGAATAAATAGTGGTATTGTTTGTGTGATAATGATTCTGGGGTTACAAGTCTCCCAAAGGGAGTATAAATAGACAAATAATGGGTCGGGCCGCTAATATGGGCCCGATAGGCCCAATTACATAAAAGGCTAATCTAGTACATACAAATGATATATGAACTCTACAATAATGCAAATGATATAAATGACGTCCGATAAGCGTGTGTGGGCCGTTGTCCAGGCCCAATAGTCGTGAGACCCGGGGGTCCGAGTCTATATACTCCATCAGGAGTCCCCCACTCCCTGAGTCGAGAGTACTCGAGGCGAAAGGGAGTAGAACTGTGTGCTGATCTATCGTCTAATGAGTAAACTTCGTGAAAAATTTTGAATTTCTGCTTCTTTGGTTAACGGAGGCGCTAAGTTCCCCACTCTTCCAGTCCCCCACTCCTTGAGGTGAATGTAGTGAGGTGAAGAGGAGTAGAGTAGTGCGTGTCGTGTGATGTCTTCAATAGGAGCCTAGGGTCGATGCCTTTTGATCCACAATGGGGAGATGCCTTGTTAAAAACCTCATTAGGAAAAAATCCTAATGAGGGAAAAAGAGTACAGATAACTAGTGTGGAGCAAAAGGTGTCCGTCTGCTACAGGGATGGCCGCTACCAGTCTCTAGATGTGAGCAGCTCGGCATGATAACTAGTCCCAGTCATCAAATAAAGATAACTAAGAGATACGTCGAGTGATCGTTCATAATGTGATGTCCGGGTCATCAAATAAAGTGACTGAGACATGTGGGCGAGAGGCCTATAAGAAGTCCAAGCCATCAAATAAAGACGACCAGGAGAGACGGCCAAGTGGCCGGTATGATGAGCTCCACGTCATCAAATAAAGATGACGGAGTGATGCATGACCGAGGTGCCTGGATGAGAGCTCCACGTCATCAAATAAAGATGACGGGGCGATGTATGGTCGAGAGGCCTGTATGAGAGCTCCACGTCATCAAATAAAGATGACAGGGCGATGTATGACCGAGAGGCCTGTATGAGAGCTCCACGTCATCAAATAAAGATGACGGGGCAATGTATGGCCGAGGGGCCTATATGAGAGCTCCACGTCATCAAATAAAGATGACGATGTGACGTATGGCCGAGAGGCCTATATGAGAGCCCCACGTCATCAATAAAAGACGACGAAGCGATATATGGCCGATGGGCCCATAAATGAGCTTCATGTCATCAAATAAAGATGACGAAGTGATGTATGACCGAATAGGCCTGTAAATGAGCTTCGCGTCATCAAATAAAGATGCCAGAGCGATATATGGCCGATGATCCTGTAAATGAGCTTCGCGTCATCAAATAAAGCTGATGGAGCGATATATGGCCGATGGGTCTGTAAATGAGCTTCGCGTCATCAAATAAAGATGGCAAAGCGATATATGGCCGATGGGCCTGTAGATGAGCTCTTCGTCATCAAATAAAGATGACAGAGCGATATATGGCCGATGGGCCTGTAGATTAGCTCTTCGTCATCAAATAAAGATGACCGAGCGATATATGGCTGAGGGGCCTGTAAATGAGTCTCTCGTCATCAAATAAAGATGACAGAGCGATATATGGCCGATGGGCCTGTAAATGAGCTTCGCGTCATCAAATAAAGATGACGGAACGATATATGGCTGAACTCTGGGCTCCTTTAGCCTTTCAGCCGGAGACCGCAAGATGTTCGCTATATCTGAATAGGGGGACAAGGCAGTGGACGCCTATCTGAATATGAGGACGACAACGCTGATGAGTCGGTCTGAATATGAGGACGACAGCGCTGACGAGTCGGTCCGAATATGTGGACGAGGCGATGGACACCTGTCTGAATATGAGGACAACAGCGCTGATGAGCCAGTCCGAATAAGAGGACGAGGCAGTGGACACCTATCTGAATATGAGGACGATGGCGCTGATGAGTCGTTCTGAATATGAGGACGACAGCGCTGACGAGTCGGTCCAAGTATGATGACGAGGTGATGATGAGCCGACTGTCATACAGGGGTGACGGTCACCATCCAGGAAGGGATGTCGAGCCCAATCGCCATAACAAGACTTCGGCGATGATGGGGAGCCGATCTTGAGATAAAACATCACGTCGAGGCCAAGAGGCTGATCGTGATGTGCGGACGGCAATGATGGGGAGCCGGTCGGATAATATGTTGACGAGGCGATGATGAGCCGGTCGTCATATGAAGGCAACGGTCGCTTATTCGGGAAGGGAATAACGAGCCCAATCGCTAGCTCAAGACTCTCGGCACTGAGGAAGCCGGTCTTGAGATAGATAGTCACGCCGAGGCCGAGGGGCCGGTCGTGATGCGTGGATGGCAATGAAAGGAGCCAATCTGAAATATGATGACGGGGCAATGATGAGCTGGCCGTCATATAGAGGCGATGATCACCATCCATGAAGGGATGGCGAGCCCAATCCCTAGCTCAAGATCGCGTTGAGACCGAGGGGTCTGTCGCGATGTGAGGATGACGGCGATGATGATCCGTTCCAATAAATGATGATGAGGCCATGATGGGCCGATCGTCATATAAAGGCGACGGTCACCATTCAGGAAGGGATGGTGAGCCCGATCGCGAGCTCAAGACTCTCGACGCTGAGGAAGCCGGTCTTGAGATAGATAATCACGCTGAGGCTGATGGACCGGTCGTGATGTGTGGATGGCGATGAGAAGGAGCCAATCCGAAATATGATGACGGGGCAATGATGAGACGGCCGTCATATAGAGGTAATGGTCACCATCCAGGAAGGGATGGCGAGCCCGATCGCTGGCTCAAGACTCTCGACGCTGAGGAAGCCGGTCTTGAGATAGATAATCACGCCGAGGCCAAGGGGCCGGGCATGATATGAGGACGACGGCGATGAGGAGCCGGTCCTATAATCCATGCAACGGTCGCCATCCGTTAAAGGAATGGCTAGGACCGGTCTTGAGATAGAGCATCGCGCCATAGCTGAGGGGCTGGTCATGATGTGAGGACGACGGCGATGAGGAGAAGTCGGTCCGATAATATGATGACGGGGCGATGATGATCCGGCCGTCATAGTGGCGATGGTCACCATCCAGGAAGGGGTGGCGATCCCGATCGCTAGCTCAAGACTCGGAGGTGAGGAAGCCGCTCTTGAGATAGATAATCACACCGAGGCCAAGGGGCCGGGCGTGATGTGAGGACGACGGCGATGAGGGGCCGGTCCAAAAATCCATGCAACAGTCGTCATTCGGTAAAGGAATGACTGACTGGTCTCGAGATAAATAATCACGTCGAGGCCGAGGGGCCGGTCGTGATATGAGGACGAAGTTACTGAGGGGTCGGTCCGAAGATCCATGCAAAGGTCGCCATCCGGTAAAGGAATGACTAAGACCGGTCAAGAGATAAATAATCACATCGAGGCTGATAGGCCGGTCGTGATGTTCGGATGGCGATGAGAAGGAGTCAATCTGAAATACGATGACGGGGCGATGATGAGCCGGCCGTCATATAGAGGCGATGGTCACCATCCAGGAAGGGATGGTGAGCCCGATCGCTGGCTCAAGACTCTCGGCGCTGAGGAAGCCGGTCTTGAGATAGGTAATCACGCTGAGGCCGAGGGGTCGGTCATGATGCCCGGATGGAGATGAGAAGGAGCTAATCCGAAATATGATGATGGGGCGATGATGAGCCGGTCGTCATATAGAGGCGATGGTCACCATCCGCGAAGGGATGGCGAGCCCGATCGCTGGCTCAATACTCTCGGCGCTGAGGAAGCCGGTCTTGAGATAGATAATCACGCTGAGGCCGAGGGGCCGGTCGTGATATCCGGATGGCGATGCTGAGAAGCCGATCCGATAATATGATGACGGGGCGATGATGAGTCGGCCATCATATAGAGGCGATGGTCACCATCCAAGAAGGGATGGTGAGCCCGATCGCTGGCTCAAGACTCTCGTCGCTGAGGAAGCCGGTCTTGAGATAGGTAATCACGCTGAGGTTGAGGGGCCGGTCGTGATGCCCGGATGGAGATGAGAAGGAGCCAATCCGAAATATGATGATGGGGCGATTATGAGCCGGTCTTCATATAGAGGCGATGGTCACCATCCGGGAAGGGATGGCGAGCCCAATCGCTGGCTCAAGACTCTCGGCGCTGAGGAAGCCGGTCTTGAGATAGATAATCACGCCGAGGCCGAGGGGCCGGTCGTGATGTCCGGATGGCGATGCTGAGAAGCCGATCCGATAATATGATGACGTGGCGATGATGAGTCGGCCGTTATATAGAGACGATGGTCACCATCCAGGAAGGGATGGTGAGCCCAATCGCTAGCTCAAGACTCTCGGCGCTGAGGAAGCCGGTCTTGAGATAGATAATCACGCCGAGGCCGAGGGGCCGGTCGTGATGTCCGGATGGCGATGCTGAGAAGCCGATCCGATAATATGATGACAGGGCGATAATGAGCCGGCCGTCATATAGAGGCGATGGTCACCAGGAAGGGATGGCGAGCCCGATCGGCCTGTGGTGATGTGACGAAGGGCAAGGCGTTGACGTCAGACTGAACATGAAGGACGGCGGAGCCGGTCTGAAGATGAGGGACGACGATGGGCGCTCGTCTGAAGATGAGGGACGGCGCTGGGCGCTCGTTTGAAGATGAGGGACGGCGCTGGGCGCTCGTCTGAAGATGAGGGACGGCGCTATGCGCTCGTCTGAAGATGAGGGACGGCGTTGGGCGCTCGTCTGAGGGACGGGGCTGGGCGCTCGTCTGAGATGAGGGATGGGCTGGGCGCTCGTCTGAGATGAGGGACGGCGCTGGGCGCTCGTCTGAGATGAGGGGCGGCGTTGGGCGCTCGTCTGAGATGAGGGACGGTGCAGGGCGCTCGTCCAAAGATGAGGGACGGCGTTGGGCGCTCTTCTGAGATGAGGGACGGCGATGGGCGCTCGTCTGAGATGAGGGATGGCGTTGGGCGCTCGTCTTAGATGAGGGACGGCGCTGCGCGCTCGTCTGAGAATGAGGGACGGCGATGGGCGCTCGTCTGAGATGAGGGACGGCGTTGGGCGCTCGTCTGATATGCACTTAGACAAATACGTGGCTTGATTTGTGGGGATTTTATTTTTTATCACTCGAGGCCGACGAGTGTGCGGTCCTCGGCTTCCCTCTTTTGATTTGTGGGGATTTCCAGAAGACATAGAAAGCTTGGTTGACCAAAAGGGCCTGTTTAAAATACAACTGAAGACAAAAAGTGAGGAGAATACTTACAAGAAAACAAAGTCATTTACTGTGGTGACCATGATAAGAGACCCTAAGGTTCTGGCATTGTATGAAGCGGATAAGGAACAACAATCAGTTCATGACCCTCCAACTGAGAAGGTATTTTCAATGGTTTTGGAGTTTATAGAAATTTACTTTTGGGTGCTTCATAGTAAAAGTATATGTTTCGTATAATAGAAAATAATGACCAATACCTTAAATTTAGATTGGGTCAAGTCTCCACAATGGTGAAAGTTCTACAGCGAGGAAAAAAGGGAAAGATGTCCAAAAACAAGAGGTATACCGACTGTAGTACTCTTATATATTTGTATAAGTAGGGTTATATATTAAAGAGATATGCTTACATTTTTTCTTAAAAAGGTTGTCGAGGCAATTGACCTCCCAGACTCACCCCCACCGGGTACGCAGAAGGTGGTGGAGGTGGAAATGGATGGACAACTCAAAAGGAATCTGATAGATGAATTCTCTACAAGTGGTGCTGTGAAGAAGCTGAAGATAAAAATTAAAGAAGAACCACTCTGAAGAACAAGGGCCAGTCTGTTGGTCGGGACTTATATTTTGTACTGAGGCATCCTTGGACTTATATTTTGTTTTGTGGTGTTGGGTTGTAACCTAAAACACTATCTTGGGCATTATTGTGTCTTACTTTCGGCAGTGTGGACAAACTAAGCATGACACTATAATTCTCCTATGGGAACTAAGTACTATTTTGAAAAATTGTATTATCGATATGATGATGTGATATGTTTATTTTGCAGGACACGGGCAACACTTCAGCAGTTTGTGAGAATAGATTTACAAAATAAAACTTCAATGTTTATAAATGAGTGTCTGCAGGTCCTATGAATTTCATTCAGGTCATGGGAGTACATAAGGATGAGGCTAAGGTCAAGGACAATGGACCTTCTAAAGTCCACCGAGGGGATCTAGGAGGCACTAAGCATGAGCTTTATATTAAGTCGAAAATGTAAATATTATTATTGTTGTAAAGCAATGGTTTTAATGGAAAAGTTATATTGGTTTTACACTTGATGCGTTAGAATATTACATATGAATACACATTTATGAGTTATAACTGTCAAGAAAGAATAGAAATAAAATGGCAAGTGAATTGGTGAATGGAGTACGTACCTCAAACAGTTGTAGAACACCACCTGCATTTCCTATTTGGACTAATTAATATTAAAGACCCCTTAAATATATTACATTATTGGCAACCCTCTAAGGTCCCTGAACTATCCCTAAACATTTTTCTAAGTCAGAAATCTAAGCCAAAGCATCCACATGAATGAAGAATTGTACAATACCTACAAACAGCATAAGTTAGGGAATAAGATCACAAACATTTTAAGTAACTAATGACTTAGATGTTATCTTACACATTAAAAAAAAAAGTTTCTGAATTATTGATCAAAACAGGTTAAAAAAGCAGTTTAAATGTCAACATATCTTTTAAACTTTAACTTTACTCCAAAAAACCCAAGTATTTTGCAAAATCTTTTATTATAAATTGTTTCAAGATTGAATATAAGCAATAAGCAATTCGTATAAACCAGAGAATGTTTATTTTCAGTTAAAAAATTAAAGTACTGAAATTAAGTTTATAAAATGAAAAATGAAATTAAAATATTCTTTTATAATGGATCAGCAATATTCAGATATATATAACAATAAATGTATTAGAAAATGAAAGAAGTACATTTTTTTCTTGACATAAATATAGGCATACTTAAAAAAATTAATTATATATATGTAGTTTGTTATATGTGTATGTATTCTAAAAACAAACTGATATCTATATATTTATATATATAGATGTTTAAATTATATCTGCTCAAATTAGATTGAAGTGTCAAAATTTTAAAAGACACTTCACCAGTTCGAAGTTGAAACCATGTAATTCGGGTAAAATATATGAAAAATTGTTGCGGAATTGACTAATGTTTATAAAATACAGTGCTTAAAGTAACTACGTAATATGAAATATCGATTTAAAAATCACTTTTATGAGGGATACAGTATTTAGAGACATATATGACATTAAGTGGATAAACAAATTAGAGAAGTACATGGTTGCACTTGAGAATTTGAGCATATGTATTTTGGCCAGAATAAGGTAGCCCAGGTATTTTGGCTTTCAATAACCTAGGTTCCCAAAGGCCATGAGTGAAAAGTAAAGAAAAATATATGAATGAATGTTTTTCGGAATTTCTTTAAAAAAATCTGTAAATGTTTAAAGATTTTGTAAAAGGCCCAAAAAGAATATGTATAGTTCTGAAAAATATCTATAGTTACTGATTTAATTGTGTTTATAAACATTAAATAACTAATAAATTTTAAAGTAGGTACATAGGAAACTCATGAATCAACTTACCAGCACCACTGTACTCAAGAGCTGCTGGCAATTAATGCAGCTATCAACTGACAGTGTTTTAGAGTGTGTGGCTCAAGGGCATTAATGAATTGTAAGAGTACTCAAATTAAAGATTTCGTAAAAGATCAAAACAAAGATGTGTGGTTCAGAAAAACATCTACACATAATTGATTGAAAATTATATATAAACTTTAAAGTATTAATTTATTAGGTAGTAGATATATAGGAAAATCATGATTCAAACCTACCAGCACCCCTGTACTTAGGACCTGCTTTCCATTAATGCGGCCGTGAACTTCCAGAGTTTCAGAGTGTGAGGCTCAAGAAAAACCCAAGTATTAATGAGATGTAAAGTGAACAGTTGTTTTGATCAATTTCCAGTCAGTCCATAAAAAATTGTTCTTCAAAAAATATCACTACTCAATCAAAAACATGGGAAGTATAATAGTTACAATGTACTTTGCAAAGTTAAAATATATATATATATATATCTTTTTTTTTTGAAAGGAAAATATATATATATCTTATTTTGCTCATTTGAATTTGAAGATGAGGGACTTTCTTCAACACTTCAAAATAAAACCATGCACTTCACTATTACATATTCATCCAAATTAAATAAATTGGACTCCCAAAAACCCCCATTTTGAACTTAATTAGTTTGTAATCCTATAAAAAACATTACTTTTTCTATATAATTTAATGGTGAAAAAGTACGAAGAAATATTAAGGAAAACAAAATTGATGAATGTGTGAAGCACATGGTTACACATATATACATTGAGCAGATTAATTTTGGCCCTAATTGGTAACTCAGGCATTCTGTTATGATATACCACGGTTTCCAGTTGGCCTTATTTGAAAAGAATGATTATAATAATGATGCAATAATAAAAAAGCGATGTGAGTAAAATACAGCAAATAGTTATGAGAATCTTAACAAAACAATTCAGTTTTTTATAGGGAGTGCTTAGAATTCTGTGAAATAGAAAATCAGTTGTTTGAAAAGTTATGTAAGATATAATATGTTGATATAATCATCAGTTAAATAAAACAGTTTTTTATACGAAAAAGCATACTCATAAATTTAAGTACACAGTAGTAGGCGTGTAGGTCGGCTAGCATTAAATGGAGATATCAGCAATATCTCAAAGGAGAATTTTGCATAGGTCTGCTCATTAAATGAGAATAGACAATGTAGGTCTGCTCATTAAATGAGCATACACAGCATCAAGTGAACTTCATAATAAATTACAAAAGTACTTACCAATGGCCTATAACCAATATTCCAATCTGTAAGCATATATACCACTTCACTTGCATTAATTCCTTGCTCAGAAACTCATTTACTGAGCTCAACAACAACATACAACTTCAAAGTCCAACAGAGAGTTTTGAGTATAAAGTGTGACGACGACTGTTCTTACCCCACGAAGCAAAGGTATGTTTCGAACTATGATATGTATTCAATTAAGCATAGACGAAAAAAATGAATTATGTACAATGAAAATGGTTGGTTATGAATATAATGAACTTTCATAAAATGCAAAGTGGGTCATACTTTAACTAATGAATATAGATTAAATAACAAATTTTAACTTTGCCATTTAAGATGAGATGTGGGTCAAGCACAAATGATTCTCCAAAATGTCATGCATGTGGGAGGATGCCTGGACTCTTTTGGTTGGTGCCATGCTTTCGGTGTAAAAATTTAAATCACTTTTACTGTATGAATCCTCTAAACAAAAAAAGGTATAATGGGAGATACTTATGCAACGAATGTCAAGAATGGATAGATGCGGGTCCTGAAATACCTAGAAGATCAGGTCTGATCATAACCCTGAACCAGAAGTATTTCAATGAAAAAATGTGTGTGGGATGAGTTTTGGTTGGCTAAACATGACATGAAAATATTGTTGCATTCCCAGTATGAAATATGTCCATGGTTTTTTGTTACTTATGTAAAAGTAGTGAACTCTTTTGTGTTTTGAAATTGTGTGGCCTGTATTATCGGATGAAATGCTCAGCCATGTTCAGTTTGCTATGTAAAAGAATGTTATGTAATGGATGAAATGTTATGGAATGTTGTGTAATCAATGAAATGTTATGGAATGCTATGTAATCAATGTAATATCATGGAATGCTATGATGAATGTTTTTTTTTTGAGAAAACATACATGTGAAGTTAGCAATAATGAATGTTTAATTCATACATATGAAAGATGATTATGTATAGCTATTATGTCAAATGCTATATAAAAAAACTTAAATGAGTAAAGTTTACATGTTTTCACATTCAATACAGAATTACATATATATTAGATGAGATGCAGATGAAAGTAAATCAGAAATTAAGGAGTTCATGGTTTACCGATGTTCAGGCCAACGGACTGCCAGACCACGCAGTTCCGAAGACCACTATGGTGGCTGGCAGGGTATCTGGTAGTCCTATGGGATGGGCCTTAACAACCGGTAACAACATGACCACCATACCCGAAAATATTGATAGTGAAATTAGATGAAGAAAGTGTATGAAGCGTCTTTTAAACAAAATTAATTCATAAGTTAACATTAAATGACTGAATTTCCTTACAATTATTGTAGTCTTGCATCATCTGAAAATAACAGAATGACATTTTTGTCTAAATAACAGCTCTTGAATGAAGAGGATTACGAAAAGCACAACAATCAACCGTAAAAGAAGTCTTCAAGACATGACCAACAAAGGTGGTTTTGTATACACTATCAATGTCTTTTACATTTGTAATGCAAGGTACGTAAAAAGAGGTTCAGAAACTATTTGTGATACAACACTAAATGAACGTTAAGTCTGTACATAATAACTATCGAACATTAGGGTTTCAAACTTAAGAAATCAGATTTAGATTTTTGAAAATGTGAACAATTGAAATTTGGGCAAGGGAGATTAGAGTTTCAAAGTTTTGAAATGAGATTCAGATTTTAGTAACTGACAAAGATTCAGATTTGTAGGAGGGGAGATGCACGTACAGTCTGTACAAAAAAAAAACTTTTGAACATTAGGGACAATCCAGTTTTTGTGACAAAGAAATAACATTTGGGAGGAAATAGAGGACTGTTGATACATGTCAACTACCAATCTAGAACATTAAACTATAGGATTTCAGATTCTGGAAATGTGATCAGAACATATCTGATCAGAACATCCCTCAAAGTTAATCTTTTATTAAAGGCAAAATAAAAACTGCACTGTGTTCCCACCTATTCCTTGACAATCTATACAAAACAAAAGAAACATTT